AAAAACATCACGTGTGTCATTTAAATCAAACATTAGTGTGTTTGACACGTGCAACCATAGTAAATGCACGTACTTTTACATATCTAACGAGCTGAATTGAAAGTGTTAGAGCTTTTATTTTACTTCCACCTGTGAACTTGACAGCTCTGCGTTCTTGACATTACATAGAAGAGCCTCTAGGCCAGGGGTCGGCAACCTGTTCATCAAAGAGCCATTACTACCTGTTTCCCACAGTAAAGAAAACACGGAGCCACAGCCGAGAGCTGCTTTAACCAATCACAGCAGGTGACAGCAGCCAGTACCGGTCGCTCGTGTACGTCAACAGAAGATAATCAATAAAACGATTTATATAAAGTGGATCCAGAAGTTGTAGCCCGTCTCTGCCTACAATATTTTGATATTTTTCACCCTGTTGGTGGTTTTCCTGAGCAGGTGCCACTTTTTTAAAACATGTTTAGACTGTTCAGAATACAAATCCAGGCTCTGTCACGTTTGATTGTTGTAATTAAACTTTGTAGGTGGGGAAGGTCAGAAAAGCATCCGATCAATTTGTTTTTCCCTCATTTACAGCGACGGAGATAACGGCGCGGTGCGCCTGGCTCTGGTGTTAATCAAGTTTAATTTAATCTCTTTCCAACAATTTTCACAAGAAAACAGAACAGTTAAAAGGCAGGGTTCACACTGGCCGTTTATTTTGACGGAGAAAGAATTACCCCGACGCACGCAGACGAACTGACATTTTATTCGTTACGCACATCGCAGATGAAGCTAAATCACCCAAGGAAAGTTCCCATCTGAACATCTGAGCTGGACACTGCTCAGCGCAGCTCGCTGTCAGCGCGCACATGAGGTGCTGGGCGAGCTGAAGATGTGGAGAGGGGCTTGGAGCGCGTCGCAGAACCAGAGCCGTGCAGGAAGGTTCCTCCCACTGAAGCGAGTGTTTTCCAGACCCGGTCTGTCAGAGAGATTTGTCACTTAGAAAATGTCCCTGATTATGAAGCTTTGGCTGAATAGCGCTTGTTCCTGTCTCCAACATGGCGACACATCCAGGAGCCGTCTGAGGAGAAGTCCAGAATCTCACATCCTCTTCAGCTCAGAAAGCGCCTATGATTACGCACAATCTTGACCCGTCAGCCCGGTCTCACAGTAAGACCGGGTTGGACCTGTTCAGGTTTACAGACAATCTTTACATTTAGAATTAGCTTACAGATATAAAATTAATGCAGTAAAATATAAAGCATTTTATTTAAATATCCATTCATTATTTTACAAGCAGAGCAGCATCAGATGGATGGAAGAGCCGCGGGCTGCCGACCCCTGCTCTAGGCTGTAGTTTTATACATATTTTTTGTATACTTGCCCCCCCCCCCCCCCCCCCTTCAAATCCGAAGAAAGCCTCAGTAAACATGATGCTCATCCTTAATTATTCACGTATTCAGTTACTCATTCGGCTACGACATCAGACGCGGAGCTAACCTGCAGCTGCTGGATGACAGAACTCTGATCTTCATCGCAGGAAACATCCTCATCCTGTTGGACATTCTCACCAAGGAGCAGCGATTCCTGCGCTCCTGCAGCGGAGGAGGAATCGGAGCCGTCGCGGTCAGGAGACTGCTGCTACTTTATCGGAAAACCTAAAATGTGTATTTTTCATTCTTTTGTTTGTGTTGAAAGGTTTGCCCCAGCATGGAGTATTTTGCTGTGGCAGAAAAGGGAAACAACCCCCACATCATCGTTTACGAGTATCCCTCTCTACGACCGTACCGCATCCTGAGAGGTACAAGATCCAGCAGGCTGTTCCTTTTTCTCATTGGG